TAAGGGGTAAGGATAATCTCCAGCTCCTTATTTTGATTCCACTGGTGCAAATCCCCCTAACACTTTATCTCTGACAGGAAGATACCAAAATACAAGGATAGGAAGATATAAACCCAGCCTCTTTTGTTATGTCCCAGAACAATGCCATCTTCTTGAACGCCAAAGGTATCCTTTGCCAGCCATTGGCTAAGATACCACAGGTACATTACTCCTCCATCTTCCCAACAAGTTTTGTAGGAGTCTGCAGTTTTATTTTGCATTGGCACTCAAAACAAGATGTCTTATAAGTCTGAAGATTCAGGCAGTAGGTAGTGGCAGCAGGAGAGCAAGAAAGACTAAGGTGGCTTTAGCTGCTAGGCTGAAGCACAGATTTACTAGCCAAGCAGCAGTAAGTGTATTTTACATTAAGCAAGGATGCTCACAGTCTAAAACTCTGACTCTCCAAAGATTTAACCTAACTGATTTCACAGAGACTTGTCCTAATGTCAATGCATGCGAAGGAGTAAATGGAAAATACAAGGTATACACATGGCATTGGTATCAATTCACCAAGTTTCTCTCATGAGGTTGCCTAATGCCACAATATACCTTATCCCCTTACAGTGGGTTCTGCAACTTTTCTTTGTCCTTCTGAATTCTTTCACAAATCTGAATAAATGTGAACAAAACACTGAAGGAGGATTTAAACTGTAACAGAGGTCCAGGGTAGAACCAAACACGATCGTTCCCAAGAGCTTTTTTAATAATTATTTAGCTCTTTGTTTACTTTGATACCAATAGAAGTGAGAGACCCAAAGTTACAAACCCCTAGCATCTCCTACCTCCTATATACTGATCAATCTGCTAAAATCTAGCACAGTTTCATTGCAGAATGCAGTGCTACCTGAATTTCATTTCATATCTACTCCCCAGAGTTAAAGATGCATTCTGGTACTCCCCCTATACAGCAAACCCCCAGAACTGAAAAGGCTCTGTAAACACAGCAAATGTGATTCACAATCTCTGTTGACTGTAGTCAACATTTGTCCTGCTGTACATGCTGAGTGTCACAGCAGCCCCTTGGCATCAAAGCAACCATTAGTATGCTAATATTCTTTGCCCTGACCCAGCAAACATATTCTCAAGAGATCAGTACCTAATTTATTTTTCTCTCTGGGTTCAGAATATTGAGTGTCAGGAAATGTGTGTCACCTTGCATTAAAACTCTGCACTTCTTTTTAACTCTAGCTAAGAAACATTTGCTTGAAGGACAAAATGACATCCTGCTAAGGCACACATGATCAGAAAGACACAAAAGGTCATTGGCATATTTATCAGGAAGCATTAAAAATGTAAAAATCATGTTAGGCACTTCAGAGACAACAAAAATTACTGTAGAAATGAGAGATATCTTAATATTTGTAATTCACAAATTAACCAATTTACAAATTTTCATTAAGATGCATTTGATTAAAAGTAATTCAGCAGTTTGCCTGGACTGGATCATATTTCATTTTGCTAAAATTCAGACAGACAGATCTTCACAAATATCACTGCAATGTGTTAAAGGCTACTATTGACCTGGAACAGAGTGATACACTTTTGTTCTTAAGAAGTCTCACCTGAAGGTGGTGAGATTCCAAAAATCTCTGGAACAGAGTTCCACATCACAAGATAAACCATCGTCTCACACTGAGGTAAGTGCCCTCAAAGATGTCAAAGCAGCCATAACCAGGAGACTAGAAGGCCTAAGAAGTTGGCTCACCACGTTTCTGACTCTCTAGGCATTCTCCCCAGATATTTCAAGAGCTCTATCTGCTGCTCTTTGAACGATGTTTCTTGGTTTATTTTCCCACTTTTTACATTTATCCTGAAATCAAACAGCTAAAGACAGACAGTGGATTCTGTTCTAGCCTGGTTCATTAACATAACTGTTTCTAAATTTCACCTAATTACTTCCAGGCAAGCTTGAATGACAATGTAGTTCTGCAGATGTCACAGAATATAAATAGAAAGTAACAGAGGGCACAAATGGAAAGGGCCACGTAATTGCAAATTTTTTCTATAGTGATTACATGAAAGAAAATGCCAACCTTTATTTTCAGAATCTCAGATGAATTTGTGAATTTCAGTTCAAACAAATAAATTCCGCTGGTAAAATGAGACATTTAATATTGAATACTTACTTAACATGTAATTGGGTAATTTCCTTTAAAGCCAAATTTCACTGCAGCATCCCAACAATCCAAGAGCAACGCATCAGAGGATTAACAGTGGCTCTATGCACTTTAATAAGCACTTGGGCAACTATGAAATTTATGGGGTTTTAATAAAATAATCTTTAAGCTTCGACTATTCCCCATTATTCCTATCACCTTCTACACACATGTATTTTCAGTCTTGTATACTGTCAATAGTGTAGAAGGTACTATGAAAGGTATTTTTGAAGTGCTATACCCCAAAACAATTACACCAGTTCTCACATTTTACCACTGAATCACATCTACCTTTTTAAAAGATGATGATAATTTGCCCAAATGACACCAACTGAATCAGTGACAAAGTGAGGCAGCTGAGGCCTCACCATCCCTGCACTTCTGACAGTGTTATTACTGATACAACAAGAGACCAAAACGAAGAAATAAATCTACTGCTGAACTTCAGTCTATAATAAAAGTACCAGGTAACGGAGTTTGAATGTGTGAAGGGAGCATATTTCAACTGACTGATTTTAGCAAGGATTTTTTTTGTGTTCAAACAGCTATTTCAGCGCAGCTATGTTACCATTCAAGGTAAACTGATGGATTACTTACAGTAGTTTTAAACTGAATCACTCCAGAAAGACTTAGTATGTCTTGTGTTTCAAAATTAGAGCAACAATAGTTTCTGCAACTGTTTCAATAATTTCCTGCAACACAGAGACTGCACTCACAGCCAAACAAATCACTTCGGCTAAACCGACTGAGAATAACATTCCTGGCAAACACTTAATCTAGATTTTTAAATAGAACTCACACACTAAAATGGAACACACAGTTCCTTTCTGTGAGCCATTTTAATGCCAGTCATAACAGAAAATCTAGTTAATACAGGACTATAGTAGAAGTTAATGCATTTTCATAACAAACTCAGAAATTGGAAGGGCTACCTAGAAGACACTGAAAACAGTGAAAACACTAAGCAATTATTCAGCTAACACAATGCCTGAATTCTATTAAGTTGTTGCCAAGAAAGGTCTTTACTGACGACTTTACAGAAATGCAATCCATTAAGCTGATTCTACCTAGTGCTGTGCATGACCTGGGGTCACTGAAAAGAAACACATTTTACGTTGAGATACCTGATGTCGTTAGCTTATTAAATACTAAGCAAACAACTTCAGTGTTGAATGCCCAAGAACTTTTGAATGCACAATCATAAACACAAAGGCCCAGGTCTGCCTGGTAGAAAAACTGAGGGTCCTTTTCAATATTAAGTAAAACCTAAGTGTTTCCAGTCCTTCACAAAATAAATTCTGTGTAATGTATTGATTTAAGTAATATGCTTCGTCCACAAGTCAAAGCAGTTGCCTTAAACATAGCTTATAAAACTCATGCATGAAGTATATATGCTTATTTCTGTATATATGCAAGCACAGCTATTGACAGGTACATATACAGGTATCTGTACACAAATCTGATTTCACATACAAAAACCCTTTGATTTTAAAGTTGCAATAAGAAGACTGCAGTCACAATATCGCTGACTGCAGAACCGGTTTCCCAGTAACTTTCAATTAGTCACAACTGTACAATGACTTAATTTAATAAGTAGAACTGCAAGGTGGTTCTTCCCTCCTTCCTTACTTCAACAAAGAAACTAAAAAAATTAGCTACCCATTTAACGAGGATGACTTACAACCCAGAGTTCACAGACAAAAATTAGTGTATTGCATACCCTCCAAACATAGCACCACCAATTTCATTGAATCACAGAAAGGTTCAGGTTGGAAAGGACCTTAAAAACCATCTAGTTCCAGTGTCCCTGCTGTGGGCAGGGGCACTTTCCACCAGCCCAAGTTGCTCAGAGCCCTATCCATGACTGTTGTATCCAAGACCTTAGTAAGTGCAAATTATTAACTCTTCCCAGCACCCTGTGAACTGAAGAGTATTTAACAATTTCAAAGGATAGTTGTCAAAATATTTCTAAAAAATGCTTAGACTCAAATCAAAACTATATAGCAGGTGATACTTGATTGAAAGACAGGGGGACAAAAAAAAATATTCCTGCTTTTTCTTATCTTTCCGAAGTGCTAATTTAAGCAACCCAGATGATGAAAATATTTCCTGTTCCTCCAGCTAAACACAAAATAATCAGGATTAAGCACTTCTACGCAGCAGAACCTGATAGAACTCATCCTCAAGAAAAACAAGCTGATTCTGCTGTAAAGCCTGTGCTTGAATTAGAATACAAAGTTATCACAGCAACTGAGGTGATCTAAAAATTCTGCTTCCCATAAATCTACAAATATATTTAAAATGCAAAACGTCTACCTTATTAAAATTTGGGGCTCTATGAAGAAATAATCTTCAATTTTATTATTACAGATTAAAAAAAAATACAGTCTTTAAAAGGCAACAAATTTGGGGACATTTTCTATTAAAGATAAATACTTTAAAACACATCACACACATTTAATCATTTCATTCACCGTGTATTAAGAAAAAATAGGAATAAATTTATATCCTACAGATAACATGGTCTCTTTTAAATATTTTTAAAATACTTTGAAAATAACTTAATCCATTCTTTAGCAATTATGTATTCAGTAATATCTGTCCTAGAAAACATTACTTTAAGCCTCTTAAGAAGCATTTAGTGGACAAGTGGATACGGAAGTGGAATCTGAGGGGAGGGTTTTCTGTTTGGTTGGGGGATTTTTGGATGTATGCCTTTGTTTCTTAAACTGTTTGAGTAAAAACCTTAATACTTACATGGGGGAAAACAACAAAAAGAGCAAGCAGTCAACCACACAAACTTACCAACATCCATGGCAGTTTCCATGAAGCTTTTCTGCCTTGAGGCAAATTCAGCCAACAGTTTCTGTTGCCTTTCTCTAGCCTTCTGTCGTCTGAGCGGAAGAAGAAGGGGGAAGAGGGAAAAAACAAACAGAAGTACATATCATGGAAGGAAAAAATACTTTATAATGTCAGGCTGATTACAGCTACCACCTTAAACAGTATCATTCAAAATTCAGGTTTTTTTCTAAATAAAGGAGTAATCAATCTCCAAGCCTAAAATAGGAATGTCTTGCTTTAGAGTTTTTTAAGAAATAAGTATTATTTTCTTTTGAGTCTGAAAGAAAGGAATAAAATCCTGTCAGAAAACCTAAGGATCTTTTAACAGATTAGGACATAACATCATATGAAAAAGAACCCAAGACTTTATTCTTAAAACTTTTTCTTCTGTTACATATGGGAAGAATAATAGAGTGCAATGTCAACTGTTGGAGCCCAAACAAGGACTCCAACAAAGAGCCCAACAAAACAAGGACATGTGTGAGCAACCAATGTTTGCAAGTTAATAACAACAATAACAAAAGCCTACCTTACTCCCTTTTGATACCAAGCTTAAAGCCAAGGGAAACAATTAAGAATAATTTATTTTCCATCTCAGGCTCCTCACAGTGGTTCCTTCTCCCCCAACTCCACCCAAGACATTGGTCACCAACAGCTTTTATACCCAGACTTAAAGAAACTTGAGATTGCATCCAGATTACAAGCCCTTATCTCTCTGGAGCCACAGGAACTTCATTAACTTTTTCCTCATTGTTTATCATAGCTCTGGATTTACAAATTAAAGACCACAGAGACTTATTCTTGTCTATCCTTCTATTTAAAGTGTATTAGTGATCTGTACAAGGTTATATGACCAGCTACGTAACTCCATATATATGTACACTGCAGTGGGTGGAGGAATACTGATGGATGTTGTCAGGTAAAGAAAACACACATTCATTTTCCTCTTCCTGAGGTACCAAGAAAGGTTCTTTACTTTGACAAGAATTTATAAACAGAGGAATGGGAAAGTGCAAGTGGCAAAACCAAAGCAAACCCCTACACCACAGCTGCTCACCACAAGGAGCATGCAAAGGCTCACGTGCCCCAGGGGTAGAGGGGCTTATCCAGTACCTTCCCAGCACAGCTATACCTCTATCAGAACTACAAATTCTGTGCATCAGCATTTACAGTGATTTCTTCTTCCCCAGCTCAGAGATGATTCTGATAACCAAATGGGATTTTAAAACATCACTTGGCATCTGACAGCCTGATGGGTGTGTGAGTCCTCTCAGTGGGAGCCTCCAGCACAGTCTGATGATCAGTGCCCTGGCACAGAACAGGCATGCACAGGCTCAAGGCAGACAACACACTGTCACCTGTAATCCTGTGGTGACCTGTGTATAAGTCAAACCTTTCAACCTGTTTTCTTAAAGGAATCTCAAAGCCCCAAATATCTCTGCCCATTGATCTGTCACATTGTACAGTCACCATTCCTCACAATAACCTCTATTTACAACAACATTAAGATTGATTATTCTGAGGATCAGACCAGGGCATTCATTAGACTCGGCTTTTTTAATTTCTCCCTGGGATTTCTCAATATACCCCTTGACTAAAAGCAGTGACTGTAAATAGATGCCTTTAATAAGAAGACATAAACAAACTGTGACAGATTCAGCACAGCTCAGTAATTTTCCATGATGGCCCACGGGACTATGACACTGCAATTGAAAACACAGCGCAAGCAACTCAGCCTCTGTTCTAGGTCCATATTTTAGTTTCTATGGCAACAATCCATTGCCTGAGCGATGCCGAGTGTGTCATTATACACTGAAGTAACCAAAACGGATGATCGGTTAACATGCAGAGTCTGCTCAGCCCTCACTGATACAAAACCGGACTTGGGGGGAAAGCAAAACAAAAAAAAACCACCAAAAATGTAACAATTGCAGAATGACTACATAAGCACTGTCGGTCTATGAGCTTAGTCATTTCAGTTACCACACTGTCCAACTTCATGGGTCCACCAATATCATTATAAATTTGGGAAGAATCTAATCATCACTCAGAATAACAAAGAATGGGAAACACTTTTATGATGACATTAGCCCTCAAACTTAACTGAAACCTTAAAGTGCTTCTAATAGAGCCTTGGAAATATCACATCCTTTACAGGGGGAATGACCTTAGCCTTTTCTATATAAAAAATTACTTGATTCATCAATTCCTGTGCTTCTCCTGTACACAAATCTAGCACTACTGAGTACCACAATAATGATTAGATGTCCAAGATGTAGTTCTGTTTTATCCAAAGCAGCTATTCATTCCAGATTTTTCTGGTAGACAATTTTATGTGCTAAGCCTTGACTATTTTCCTCATTTACTGAGCTATTACACACGATGTTGAAAATTTAACTATTAACTGAACAGTAGCAAGAAAAAATAATTCTACTCTGTAAAGAATGCAACTTAGACAAATATACTAAATCTGTATTTTTAAAGTGTAATTTTCAAGTACAGTACATGTCTTGGACATAGAATATAGTGACAAATTTATTTTCAAATAAAAATAGCAGGATAAATAAAGGTAATCCAGGAACCAACTGAGTCAGATGGCTGCATGTTTCCACCCAAATTTCTAGATGCATAATTACATAGTCTGGTTACATAAAGCATTCAAAATACTACATGAACAAGCACCCAATCATCTTCTTGTCCATTCCAGTCTGTGCTCTGTCTCTGCTTAAGCTAATGCATTAAGCACCCTGACCTGAACTCCTCACTTCTATGCCCCAACCTTCTAACACTATCCACTGTCCTCTTGCGCCAAACACCATGTTACACTCTTTTGTGCCAACCAGTTGCCAGTCTCTTCCCACTGCCCCACTCCAACCACCTCTTCTTCTTTCTGGCTGATTCTATTGCATCCCCCAAATGCCAATCTCATGCCCTCTAGGCATTTGCATTCCTGTTCCACATTCTCCTTCTCCCACCATCTCTCAAACCCCCATTCTTCCCCATCAAGATTTTCACTAAAAATTGCTTTCTTTCATTTGCTACTCTTCTGAGTATTTTTGTCCTGACAACATAGTTCTTCCATAACATCCCTGCTTGCTAGTTGTCTTCCCGCATCAACTACTCACTTGACCTGGCATCTTTGCTCACTAGTGCACTGACCATAAGGTTTCTCCTTCCAGTCCCAGTTTCAGCTGCCCCTAGGACTGCCCCCTGCCAGTCTCAGTTTTCACCTCTATTTCTCAGCTTTAGTTGCTGTCCTCTAGGACGTTGTTCTATGTGATTCCTCTTCCACATGACTTCTCATGCCAACACAACGTTGGCTGAAGCAGAAGAGAGGCAGGCTCTCTGCATTCATTCCAATAGTGCTAGCATCCTGGGAGCTCTCAGGACTCATTATACCCCAACCTCAACACTGTCTGAGCTTTTTCCAAAAACATTTCAGCCCAAAACAGACATCTGGCATAAAGGTTTTCAGGCCACATAATAAGAAGATATGACCTTCAGTTTTTAAAAAAGAGCTATAAAAAAACTGAAAACATGCTTTTAAAACTGAATGGGTTGGACAAGCAAAAATGTTCATATATAGTAAAAAACCTCAAACTCAATCATACTGTGATGTATTGTCTGTTCAGTCACATACACACAAAAATTTTAACTCATCTTGTGGTAAGCCACAAAAGCTAACGCAACCTTAATTCTATGCCTTTGTATACATGAGTGGTATACAACATTGAAGGGTGAGCGTGTGCATCACATACAATTATTATGAAATTTTTCTGATTTAAAGATCTCAATCAGCAAAATGCAGATTCCTCCTCAGTACCCATGTAAACCATGTCTATTCAAAATGGATAAAGAGAACTGCAGAATTAAAACTTACTCTTTTAATATATAAGTAATGCAAAAACCTAGAGACAGATGGATCAACAGATGCACAACACACACTGCCCTTCTACCACCCCTTTACTTCGCTATTAATGTTACCTTTCTTCTTTATCTAATGTTTTCTTCTCTGCAGAACTGATCTTTTTTGGCGGTACAGGAGGTGTCACCTTTCTGCAGATCTCTTCAATTATGCGTTTATTCAGTCTGCTCTGCACAGCAGCTTTCAATAAAATCCTTTCTACTGCTGTCATTCCATCACCGTGAGAGTATCTTGGAATTTCTGGGTGGATTAAAACATCCACATCATCCAGCCACGGAGGGTAGTAAGAGTTTTGTTTTCCTGAGAGTTTGTGATGCAATTTAATCAGCAAGGACAATATGCTTTCCTTGACTTCTAGAATGGCTGTGGTTAGCTGTGGAGTTGCACCAGGTGCTGACCATTTCATTGATGTTTTGGGTCGAACCACCTGGTTTGCCTCACTGGTGTTGCGATTGATGATCTCCTGGAACTTCTTTCTACGCTCTGCAACCAAACTGAACACCTGAGCCGTCCCCGAGTTCTTGGGAAAAAAATCAGAATGATTAATTGCCAGAAATCCCAAGTATAAACAACACACATTTATAAAACTACAGAAAATACTTAAGCTAGGAGGAAAGCACAATACTTGAAGCTTCCTGTCCTCTCACAAACATATTGAAAATTAGGATAGCAAAATACTAAGCCTGCAAGTTGTGTTTTTGTATAAATCTGTTACATGCAGCTACATAAAGTCAACTACAAAATTCAAATATCTATACCAAAGCAACTAACAACTCCTTTTGCTCTAGTCTAACTTACAATTCTCTTCTCCCAATAATATTTCCTTAGTTTTTCTAGAATAGTAGTAATTTCAGTGTCTTTCTGTCATTTAAATGCCTTTAATGAAGTCTACTGAGCACCGTTGCACAACATAACCCATAATACCACACATCATGGCACACAGGTGAGCCCACACATCCCCATGGGAATGTCCATTTTGTATGCATTTATTAGCTGAGCTCCAGAAGCCACAGATCCATATCTGCAAGCAGAACTTGCTATTCAGGGCATGTGAGCACATGAATATAGCTACATTAATGACAGCCTGTTCAGATGTCTCTATCTTGCACTACTCGAGAAGTCAATACCAAATTAAGGTTACACATACTGAATCCATAGAAGAAAGATATTTCTTGAATGCTTTGAACATGGCATTCAGAACACTTCTCTCTCCCCTTCTCAGAAGGCTGAGCAGCTAAGAGATAACAAATATATAAATGGGATTCTGACAACCACCTCGTCTACCTTCTTCATATTTTAATCTATTTCGTGTCATCTCCCCAATTTTAGATTTTGTCTGGTTTTCTGACCTTAACACACAAAACAAATATCCATTGTGTTTCACTACATCTGGCACAGAGTAACCTGAAGTGCTGTACAGAAAAGATACTAAGGCAATCCTGACACAAAGATCATCTATTGGCTATAAATCTTACAGGCTCCCACCATTGACATATTCATTTATTTTCACAACAACAAAAAGTTGCCATTAATATATTCAAGTGCACTTTCAATGTAAGGTTAAACTTACCTAGATTTCAGAAAGCCAAGACTAGTCTGCATTATTAAATGTTAGTAATATCTTGGCAAGACAAAAAAGGCCTAAACACAAAGCTCAAGCAGTAAATGTCAACTGACATTTCATATTTAATAAAAAGCTTTTATGCCAAAAACATTTAAAACATAATGGCATTTTGTTGCTTAGAACTCTAGTACCTAAGATTACCATCCAGAACATGAAAAAAGCATGAACCTTTGCAATACGAATTAAAAGGAAATTCAGGAAAATGAGAAGATTCCACTGAATGTTAAGATAAGCACAATTAAAGCCAAGTTGCTAGTTAATCGCTTAGGAGAACAAACTGCACACAGATCTACCTCTCTCTGGAGGCTCTTCCGCCTTGAACTCTGGTAGATTGAGGACAAAAAAAGTCATTAAATACATCATTTGGAAGGAGGTATCATTTGAAATCACTTCTATTTCTACTATCAGTACACTTAGGAAAAATTACTGAAGGGGAAAAAAAAAATCCTAAGAAATTAATAAAACCAGTAACAAAAATCCTAACAAGAAAGCCAAAACAGGCAATAGCTTAAACTGATCAAGGGAAAGAACTTGTATTTGTATGTACTTACTTGTGATGAAGCTAAGCCATCAGAACTTGTACTTGCAGGTGGTTCCCTCTTGACCTCTGGAGCAGTTTCTGGCACTCTTACTCGGACATAGTTAATGAAGTGACGCATGTTAGAAACCAAGTTACTGCCTGGAAACCAACTGTCATGGCAACGCTCTTGTCCACCTGCAGCTTCCTAAAACAATTTTAAAAAATCTAGCATACTTTCTCTTATGTATCGAAATAACATAAGCCGCTTTTGTCCCTCTGTTACTGAGGCCATCATCTGTCCATGAGACAGGAACATTGTGTTCAACATGACATACCTCAACAAAAACTAACAGATCTGTTGAAAATTATGATGATTGATGCCTACTGTGAGGGCCACAGGGCTGAGAAACACAAATCTTTGATTTCAATATAATCAAATACAGCCATTAGTGCTAACTAGCAGAAGTAAAAGGAACTGCTGAGAGTAATTCAAAACTGTACAGTCTGAGATTCATACAGAAAATTCAAACTAAATAGAAGTCAATCTCTGAAAGAAAGAAAAAGTGACAAATCCTTGGTCGTAGAAAAAATGTTAAACAATAAGAAAAATTATCCAAGTCAGATAATGCAAGGGAATCTGGAATCTCAGGAATAATGCCTCTTCATATTCCAATTCTCATCAACAGTACAGTTAAAATTTTGGCTAATTCACATATTTTAGAAGATACAGACCTTCAGCAATAAAATGCTCAATGATAAAGTTTTCAGGTGAAAAATCTAGAAATTTAAGTGGTGTTTAGAGTCTGATTTTAAATTTTTTTTGCATACATTCAAGAACTAATTTACAAATTAGTAAAGACCTAATCTGTGTTGTCAGGCTATATGTGTGTATA